TGCCCCGTCCCCAGCCGCAGCCCTGGGCTCCACCACCTCCGCCGGGCAGACAGCAATGGAGTTCCCACCCTCTGCTGGAAGCTGCTGTGCGGCACAGCCTGGAGCAAAGCAGACCTGATCCATGCAGGTGGCATCCAGGAGGAACCGGCAGCTCAGCGGTGGTGGGTGGCATCTGGCATGAGAGTCCTACGTGCTGCCACTCTGCTCTCCCGGGGACTGGCCCTGTCCAGCCGGGCACCGGCGAGGGGTGAGGACTTGGAAATCCAACAATGTGCAGAAAATGACAAATAAAATCAAACAGGAGACTGCCCAGAGCTCTGGGTGTGCCGTCACACGTGGGAGCAACACAGGTGGATGTAGCTACGTTCAAACACACTACGGGTCAAAAAAAAGCCAACGGGATGGACAGACAGACAAACACGGAAGAAGCACAACCAAGACCACACAGTTGGCCATGCACACTGGGGAAATTCACCTGGAGAGCAGCCTGGGGTGGGAGCACATGCCCCAGGTGGAATCCAACAGGGAGGAAGGGGCCTCGAGGCTTGGTCCGGCCTGGGGAACTGGAGATTCATAGAATGAGTTGGGTTGGAAGGGACCTTCACAGGTCACAGAGTCACAGAATGGGTTGGGCTGGGAAGGATCTTAAAGATCACAGAGACAAAGAATGGTTGAGTTGGTTTGGGAGGGATCTTGAGGATCACGGAGATATAGAGTTGGCTGCGTTGGATTGGGTTGGAAGGGGCCTTATAGAGCACAGAGCCACAGAATGGTTGGGTTGGGTTGGGTTGAGTTGGAAGGGGTCTTATAGACCACAGAGCCACAGAATGGTTGCGTTGGGTTGGGTTGGGTTGGGTTAGAAGGGGTCTTATAGATCATGGAGCCACAGAATGGTTGGGTTGGATTGGAAGGGTCTTATAGATCATGGATCCACGGAATGGTTGGGTTGGGTTGGGTTGGGTTGGAAGGAGTCTCATAGATCACAGAGCCACAGACTGGTTGGGTTGGGTTGGGTTGGGTTGGGTTAGAAGGGGTCTTATAGATCACAGAGCCACAGAATGGTTGGGTTGGGTTGGAAGGGTCTTATAGATCATGGATCCACGGAATGGTTGGGTTGGGTTGGGTTGGGTTGGGTTGGAAGGGGCCTTATGGATCATCCAGTTCCAACCTGGCCAGCCCAGCACTGCCAACAGGGAACGAGGCCAAGGGGCTGCGCCAGCCCCACATCCAGCAACAACCATTAACCAGAGTGGGAGAAGGGCATTTTCCGTGCTGTGATTTCCCCACGTCAACCGTTACCGTGGCGGTGACTTCCCTGAGGGCCACCATGAAGACCCTTCAGTGGCAGCCAATGAGATGAGCTCCGGGCTGTAAGGCTTTGGGTGCGGAAGGAGCACGAAGGGCCGCTCCGTTCCCTCTGCGAGGCCTCCAGGAGCTGCCCTGGGGGCTGCAGCCCTGCAGGGACGGCCCTGGTGAGGGCAGAGCGGGGCACGGGGTCCAACCCGAGGGCTGTCAGAGCCAGAGGGAATTTCCTCAGCCGTCACCATGGGGCAGCAGCAGCAGCAGCAGCAGCAGCACACAGCGGCACAGACGGGGACACAGACAGACTACGGGGCACACGGGCAGCGGGACGGGAGGGGACAACGTGAGATTGCTATGAGATGAGAACGTGCTCACTTACACAACTCGCCCACCCTCCTGAGGCCAGAGGCGGTTCATAGACAGAGCAGCGCAGACATGCAGATGGAGAGCAGGAAGAGAGCAATGAGAGAGAATGTTAGCTCCGGTCCGGGGCAGCAACCACACGGAGTGAGCGGACGTCGGCGTGCGGCCGCCCGGCAGCTCCGGGGCTGGGGTGGATGCTGAGGGGCTCTGGGGGTTCAGGAGGTTTTCCTCACTCGCTGAGGTGACGTTTGTGTGCGTGCTACGGGAAATGGGACATCGGTCATTGCGTGAGGTCAACAGCCAAAGCCTGAACGGTTGGACGGAGATATTTGGAAGGGCTGAGAACGGGGGAAGGGGGGGAGAAGGAGGGAGGGAGGAGGGATGGGGTGGGAGCAGAATGGGGGACAGAGCAGGGGAGGGGGGAGAAGAGGGGGAGGAGAGAACGTAAGCATGAGAAGAAATGGTCCACGGCAAGAACAAGAGCGGCAAATACAGATCAACATCTTCGGACCCTATGGATGTGTGGGTGGCTTTGGTTTGTATGACTGTGAGGACCACAGGTCAGTGGGGGCTCTGCGTGCGACTCAGAGCTCTGCAGAGGGAACGATGGCTGCTGCAGCGGAGAGGAGCCCGAGTGAACGCCTCGCCAGGAGTCTGAGCTACAGCACAGCATCAGCACAGGGCCAGGAGGAAACCAACCAGCGCGGCCACCCCATGGGACGTGGGGCACGACGCATGGCCAAGCGGGCACTGCGGACCCCCTGGGCTCCTCCTACACTCTCACCACCCCCAGCAGCAGTACGGCGCTGCCCGGAGCCCTCGCTGTGCCCAAGGTTCAGCTCGGCACCGGCTCGGCAGCTGCCGTCGTCACGAGGCAATCGTTGCGTTCATCCACAGCTTTGCTTTTTCCTTTTTTTTGTCCCGTAGGTCGTGCTCACAATGCAAAGAAATTGGCTGGGATTTCTCAGCACCGGGATCCAGCGGGGAGGAAGGAGCAGGAGCCACCGCTCTGCTGCGCCCTCGTGCCGCCACGCGTTGGTGCGCTTGGCCAAAGAAGGGAGCGCGAGCAGCAGGCGCTGCCAGGCACCCCGTGCAGCCGCTGGGCCAGAGCTGAGGAACGGTGCTGGAGGAGCTCAGCTCAGCCCCGCACGGCCCGAGGAGGGATGGTGGGCATGGAGGAAGTGCTGTTAGCCCCTGGGAGCGCCAGGCACTGCCAACAACTTGTCTTGCCATGCCGTGCCGTGCCATGCTGTGCCATTCTGTGCCATTTTGTGCCATGCCATGCCATGCTGTGCCATGCCATGCCGTGCCATGCTGTGCCGTGCTGTGTCGTGCCGTGCCATTCTGTGCCATGCCATGCTGTGTCATGCTGTGCCATGCCGTGCCATTCTGTGCCATGGCATGCTGAGGCGTGCTGTGCCATGCTGTGCTGAGCCGTGCTGTGCTGCACCATGCCATACTATGCCGTGCCATGCTGTGCTGTGCTGTGCCGTGCCATGCTGTGCCGTACCATACTGTGCCATGCTGTGCCATGCCATGCTGTGCTGTGCCATGCTGTGCCGTGCTGTGCCATGTCATGCTGTGCCATGCCATGCTGTGCCGTGCCATGCTGTGCCATGCTGTGCCGTGTCATGCTGTGCTGTGCCATGCTGTACCATACTGTGGCATGTTGTGCCGTGTCATGTTGTGCCGTGCCACGCCATGCTGTGCCATGCTGTACCATACTGTGGCATGTTGTGTCATGCC